GTAGCTAGTGACTGTCAGGAAAACTAACCACCGGTCCTTTATGATATGATCTCTAGACGTTTTCCATGTTTATGCTTATTATCCACTTCGTGCTACGGACCGTTATAAAATCGCACTTAAAAGGAAGGCTGTAGGCGAAAGTCTGTTTATTAACAGGGATCTGCTGCTGCTCGTGCTGTTTTACACTTGCGCTTGTAGCGGTATATTTGCGAAGAGATTATATGTCATCCAAACCCTAAGGACGGATACCGGTTCTTTATCACCGATGCTCGCGATTATTGCAGCTGTCCACCATTCCTTCGAGAGTAGGCAAACGGTTTTGAAATTTATTACTCATTCTGGCCGCATGATACAGTGTGCTTACTGGTGAGGTAGGACTTACTTTAAACTTTCCTTGCTAGACATCGCTTCTAGTCATCAATCTAACGAGATAGAAGCAATGTGATAACGCTTAGGTTGCATTTAATATAGTGTAAACCCAAATTAACACTGAGATTGTAACGAACAGGATCCGCCTCTACTAGTTGTCCACGATTCTACTGCTAAACAGGCCGTTTCTTCCAGCCTTTGACGTTATTCTGTTGAGGAATAAATTGAAGTTGATGGGTCAACCTAACCATAAAACCGAATCTATGATGCTTTGACATTTGTTGTGGGCTATTGACCGCTAACTACTAGGGATCTATACAGACTAAGCGACTAAATTGGATGGTGGAACCCTTAAAGAGTCTTCTGAAATTTATACTCTTCAGTCTACAGTATAAAAGTTTGTTAGGACAATGTTAATTAGTAGGGCACGTGATCCAAAAGTAGCCCAGACATGGTAAAATTCTGGCTGTCAGCTGGGCCTGTTAACAGCGACCTTCGTAAGCCGCCTAGGTCCAGTATCATAACTTCATACATGTGAGTCCTCCCGCCGAAATTGCCCCTAATGACTTCGAACAATGTTCGCAGTTTACGACACCTCTTTTGTCTTTTACCCAATGCACCTTGTTCGCAACTTCACATTTTAGAAAAGTCTCACTAAAGGGTATTTCCTGTTCTCACAATTATGACGGATTTGCACTG